ACGTTTTGTTTCTTACATTTAGTCAAACAAACATTGTGTTGAAATGATTAGGCAATGAACAAAAAAAAACAAGAGGGAGAAAGAGACATAACACAGCATGAGAAGAAGAAAAATGAACGGTTGCGCGTTCTCTCTTTGGCTCTTCAAATGTAACAGCACATGTATAACTATATACTATGTCATTGAATAGAGAAAGAAATGAAATATCTACATCTATGGGTCATTCTTTTAATAAGTGAAAGTCTGCTCCCTAATACATGGACTAGGAATTAAGAGAGAATAAATCTTCAAAAGAAGACTGTATTGTTGAAATACTGAGTAACAAGCAACCTTTGGGTCAGTCACAGCGGACGTGCATGTCATGTGAATGGTGATGACATGTAGAATACATAATAACGGTACAGACGGAAAGGTTAAATGGCACGAGTTACACTTTTGATTTATCATTTTCAGAATGCGCTTACGTCATACATTGATCAATAAATGATTAAATTTGTTTCGAAATAGAATTTAATACTTATACGAAATAAGATATGCTTACATTGGGAGATTTAAATCTTTCTTCAAGTTTACACTGAATTTCAACTGAATTAATCCATATTTGATGCCATCTATTTTCTAAATCACTAGCATACTCAATTGGAATTTGTTCATTTTGTTGTTGATAATCTTTTTTTTAAACGATGACATATTTCAATAACAGATGATACACGACTATTTTTTGATTTAATTTCATTTTGTAATTTCTAAATAAATCCTATAGAAAATAAATGAAAATAAAAAAAACATTTTCTATACCATTAGTTCTTGGATATCTTCGTAAAAAATCTTTTCATTTCGAATAAAATGAAATTTTGCTAATTGTTCTTCAATTTCAGTAATCCATTCTTCAAATAAAAATAATTCATTATGTAGATCTACAATAAATATAAGGAGAAGAAAAAAATAGTTTCCCTTTTTTTTCATTTAATCGATTAAATTAACCTTGAATAATTCGATCGAAATCTTCATCTAAATATCCAATAAAACGTGCTTCAAGGTCATTCCATATTTGATAAATTATTTTTATCTTTTTCTCAATAACAACTTGTATATCAGGGAAACGTTCAATTAATTTATTTGAATATTGATTAAACATTCGTAAACGCATTAAACCTTGTTCGTATAATTCTTCATAATATTTCTTAAAAGAAAAAAAAAGAAAATTATTAAATTCAAATTCTTTTTTTTTGTTGCTTACCTGTCGAAGATAACAAGTTAAAGCATTGTATGACGATTGTTGAATTACGGTGGAAATTCTTTCACACCATTCAGATAATTCAACATATTGCTTTTCAAATTCATTATAAGATACATGATGCACAGCAAGATCATTCAAGGACGTAAATGGTTCTCCAAGAGAACTCTATTAAAAAGAAAATGAAAAAAAAGAATTTCTTTTCATCATTCAAACTTACTTTACAATGACAAATAAGCTCTTCAGACATAAGGAAATTGTAATCATCTATAAGTGTGCCATTCCAAAATTCTTGCCGTTTTTTATTACTTCTAAATAAAAAACGATTGATTTGTGTATACGCACGTACATATATATATATATATATTCATCTCGAACTGTACTAATGAGAAAAAAAAACGCCCTCGGATGATGTTGAGCAGATGATGACAATGGTTTTTTTAGCAAAAAAAAAAGAATGAAAAGTGGTAGTTTGATGACCTTTGCGCTGAGGAATTGCGCAGGTAAATGTATATATCGAAACGACAATTATGAAATAAAAACTATTTTATTCATATAATACATAAGAAATTGCCTTTTGATTGTATGATCTTATTAAAAAGAAAATCGATGAAAGTTTCTACGTTTTTATTAAATATTTTATCATTATAATAAATCTTGTCTTTATTACTATAGTAAAATAACTAAATGGTATAACATTAATTATGAATTTATTTTGAGTTCTATTTGACTAGACGATTTGTAGAAAGATAGAAGACATTATATTATCAAACAGAGACAAATTTGTCAAGGATTTAATCTTTCCTTTTTTTCTGTAATACTAATAGTCCGAAGTACAACATACTAATTCTTTAAATAGCAGCTGGTCTCTGTTATTAGAACAACGATATATGTACTGCGTATATTTTTTTCTTTTCTTGATTCGATTATAAATCGATTTAGAATAGAAGAACTTATAATACATATGTAAAATCTATAGACATGCATGATTTAACAAAATATCTCTATTTAAAATCAAAAGGAATAGTATAATCGCAATACATTCGTTTTCAACTGTTTGAAAAAAAGTAAATTTTTGATTTTAATGTAATCTAACATGATTGATACAATGATTTTAAAACTTACCGTTTAATAAAGATTCATATCAATTTAATCTCAAATTTGTATAACAAATTTATATGATCTTTATCGATTAATATCAAAGAAGATATTATTTTTTGAAGAAAACTTACTCGAGGGATATTAATTGTATAACTTATCTATACACTGTCTGCTTTCGTATTTTATCATTCCTGTCTCTCTCTCTCTCTCATTCTATTTTATAGATAAATCGTGCTTCATTTTATTCTATATCTATTTTTTAGCTGCAATACTACTTTATCTTCTTCTCCTTATTTGTCATGTAAACATCAACATACCCTGAAATCTTGACACTCTATATACTGTACTATGGTCACATAATGTTCTCATTCGTATTTGTTTTCAAATGCTTTCTTTTTCTTTTTCTCCCACTCGTCTTATTTTATGTAGTATCTGGCCTATAACACATTAACGTCATGAAAGTGCTTACATAAAAATATATTCTGTACAATTCATCATCATCATCATCATAATCATAAAAAGTCTTCTATTCACACAAAGTTTTATCATTCAATATCTATGTTTAATTTTCTTTTTTTTATTCACTGAACATTGTCTTTTGTAGTTATGTATAAAGATATAATAGATGAGAAATTTGAAAAAACAAAATCGCTATTCATTCGAAAATCAAAGACAACTAAATACATATACATACCTAGATGATTTTTGTGATAATACAGGATGAAGAGTTGAATTATGATTATTCATCTCTTAATATAGTGTATGTGTATATATATATATA